AGGTAGTGCGAAAGAGTAATATACACATAAAGAGAAAAATACACATAAAGCACTTAGAATAGTGGTTGGCATGCGGTAAACGCTCAGTGAATGTTAACTATTGTTCTTTATCCGACTGGGTAACAATTTGAAGTAAAGTAAGCCAGTGCATCTAGGTTCCCAAATAGAGTTTATTTCCCCAGCTGCTTCTTCCCCTTTCAAAGCCACTGATTTTTCTAGAAGCTCTGATAGCTTCCACCCCACCCAAGCCTGGTCCTGTGGTCTCAGGTATGGAGCAAGGCTGCCTGTTAGGCGCTGGCTTGGCTGAATCCTGCTAGTGGGTTTGGATCCCTCTGAGGGGAGAAACTAATCTCTTATCCAGCCGTATATTCTGAGGGCCTGCACGTCACAAGTGCTCAATTAATATTTATTTTCAAAAGGAGAAAAATGTGTAGTTTGTTTGCGGAGCCATGAATTACCCCTGAGTGCTTTTATATTTACCGTGTCTTTACTAAGGAAAGTGATGGCTTTTGGTGTGGTGATTGGGAAGAGGCCAGAGAAAAAGAGACCAAAAAATACATTTGTCTGACTTTCTTCTTTTCTGGAAAGAAGACAGCATCAATCTTCAGTGGCCCCTTAAATATTCTTGCCAAGACTGAAGGCTTGTTCCTGAGGCTTGCCAGTGACAACAACTTAATGCTGTCATAAGCAGAACAACTTAATGGGAAGAAGAGAGGCTTGTGATATCTCTGCCAGGGACGTGGCGGTGGGACCCCCGAGTGGGGAGCAGCAGACCCTCTTCTGTCCCCACCTCCCCCCTCTGACAGGCAGCTGAGAAACATCTCAGCCTGAAGTCTGGCCCTAACCAACGATTCTCTGGAAAAAGACTGTGCTTATGAATTTGGGGCTAAATCAGGCACAATACAGAGCATGAGGCCGGGGGTCGATTCCTCTTTTTAAATGTGACACTCTGCAGAACCTTCCTAGTTCCTGTTACAGGAGACCCCCTCCCCTGCCCCCGCCCATGGAGAGAAGCAGTGATTTTTCACTACCTAGAACTGGGCCAATTCCAAAGTGTTTTCTGGATGATCAAGGGAGACACTCGACCCAAGGCAAACAAACGGAATTAAAAATTCTGCTGAACTGCTCCATTTTTAATAATTGTTTTAGTAACATGCAAGCAATTGCCATAACCTTAAGGCAATCCTCAGGAACAATGGACATGCATGTGATGGTTGCTTGCGCCTAAACACCTATCTATATACATCCATGTAGCTACACCTGTGTCTCTTATAGGAATATTTGCATAGAGTAGGGCTATGAGCCACACACACCGTTTTGGAATAAATAATGTTTTAAATATTTACTCTCCTTAACCTCATTGTAATAGTGTGGTTTCTGTTTGTAAAATTGGACTCTTAAAAGAGCGAAGCGAAAGAGAAAAAAAGTCGAATGTACTTTTACATTAAATACAAACCCTTTTGTTAAAAAGTCATTGTGCTCCATACTAAATTTATTCAATCTCCCCCGATATGTCCTCCAAAATTAATTTTCATTCGGTTTGCATTAACTCATTTATTGACTTGGAATTTGGTCCTCGTTTGAGGCAATCGATTTGCAGAGTGACCACATAGCCCCAGCTCCCCTCCTGGACACCCACACACACATGCTCAGGAACAAGCAAGCAATGACTGGGCATCCTTTCTTCTTTCCCTTTGCTTTTCCTCTTTGAGATATTGTCCACTCTCGCCTGTTAAATAAATGACCTGTGTCTTTGCAGGACAGCGACAACCTCTGGTGGGACGCGTTCGCCACGGAGTTTTTTGAAGATGATGCCACATTAACCCTTTCATTTTGTTTGGAAGATGGACCAAAGCGATACAGTAAGAAAGAAGTTTATTTTTCTAATACTCCATCTTTTTGCGCCACTCAAGAAAAACCATGGGATGGTGCTGACAGCCAGACCATAATACCCCCACCCCTGATGATGCTCTAGCTTCTGATTGAGGCATTGTAACCGATGGCAGCCCGAGCTGGCCGTGAGAGATCTCCTTCCAGGCTCTGAATGTTTGGGCACTTGCCTGTTTAGTGAGCGAGGCAAATATGAACCAAGTCACTCGATAATAAGTGGGAGCTGAATTGTGGAGACTTTCCATCCGTCTCTTCCCTGTACTCCCCCTGCCTTCCCTTATCCTTGACAGCTTACACTTTATACCCAATGTTCTGCTTCTGAAGGTTCCTTTAAAAAAATCCCTCACAGTCACTGTATCAGCCACATCCTTCTAATTCCCTCTTATGAATTATCTCAGGTATTTATTTGACAAGTGCTATCTTTTCTGGGGGGCAGGGGAGGCCGCAGCTGCTTTGAACATACAGTTTTGGATTGGCGTTGACAGAATTATAGTTCCTTGTCTTTCCGCCAAGTGATAACTCTGTAAGGATCCTCGAATTACAGCCTGTGGCACCTTGGGTAACAGCTGATCTGTCCTGATTAGGTTCAGCCAACTTGTCAGAGATCAGATTTGCTAGTTCTGCTATAAGGCTGAGAGGCACAGATACATCAGCACAAAAGCAATTAATGTCCGGTTAGATCAGAGAGAGATGTGTTTTCAGAAATCAGGGATGCACATATGAAAGGGTCTGTCAGAGGGTGAAACATCCCAAATGTCACAAATATGGAGATGGTGATGGAGCCAGCCGTAGTATGTTTGAATGGGTCAACCCAGAGCGTAGCACAGTTGATAGACAATAGGGCTCTCGATAAATATGATTAACATTTAATTGATGCTAAATTTATTTAAATCCATAAAGTACAACAACTGTTTCTTTTTTCTTTCTTTCTTTTCTTTTCTTTTTTTTTTTAAATTTTAGGGGACTTTAGACGGCATAGTAGGATTGGGATCTATTGCATGATGAGTTGGTTAATTATGCTAATATATGCACAGTGATTTGCAATAGCGGCAAACTGGGGAAGCAGGGTAACTTGGAGTTGCTACCCTATTGAAATTCATCACCAGGAGCATCTCTAGATCTGTGTACTTTGGGCTTTTAGAGGCGTGGGACATTGTTAATAAATATTTTGGGTGAGAGGGACAGCTAATATGCCAGACAACTGGCTGTTTTTGAGTATCTTTATTCAACATAATGACTCCTGTTGCAAGCACTGGCAAGCCCGCTTCATGGGGGTCCTGAGGAGTTAACTTGCTTTCCTGGGTGTGGGTGCCCCCGCGTAACCTCCTGCGCGAGAGAGTAGGAGACTTGGGCTCTGAAGCTGCTGTTTCTGAAGAGTCCCTGGGAGAGAAATGAACTCGGCAATCCAACAATTTCTCTCCCCAAAAGCTTGTCTGATCAATGGCGAAGAATTTTGAATCAAGCAGTCATCCATGCTCTTCTTCTTCTTCTTCTTCTTCTCTTTCCTGAGGCATAAGCTCAGATAACTCCAAGTTATCATTATTGTATGTTTTTTGTTCCTATGCTTTGTTTTTTTGTTTTTTGTTGTTGTTTTTTTTCTGTTTTGGTTTGGGAATCCATCGGGGTCTGTTTTGGCAACTAAGAATTACAGTTTCAAAGCCTGTACTAATGAAACAGATTCTCGATCTTCCGTCTGCCCATCCCCAACATCATTTGGGGGTGAGGTATGATCAGCGCCTCTTTAAGATCTGATGTCCATGAACGGGAGGAATGCCTGACTGAGTCGATATCGCCCAGGTTTCTTTGTTTCTCTGAGCCAAAATATTTCCCGAGCGGAGAAGAGAAACAAAGATGATTGACAGCTTGGAGCTGAGTCTCATCAGCTGCTTTGCTGACAGCCTGGTGATGTGCACACGCTGCTGATGTGCGGGCGAGTGACAGCTGATTGACAGCCTAGGACTGGGAGAGAGGGAAGATGAAGCTTGCTTAGAACGCCTGACGCACGCTGTTTATGCAGCGCTCCAAGCCCAGGCGCTGCCACCTTAACCCATTCGCAGTCCAGGCACACAGTGCCAGGCTGGGAAAACACCTGCTGGCCCCAGCTGCTGGCTGCAGCTCTTCCTTGAGACCTCCCAGGGAGCTGAGATCTTTGCATTTCTGAGGAAGAAAATAAGACTTGGCTATTATATTTGTATATGTAAAACATGTCCCCAAATTGCTTTCATTCTAGGTACCAAGAAATATTCCAGATGAGATTTCTTTAGCCCTTACTGGAAAAACCTGTTCTTTCTCCTTCTCTACCTCTGTGTTTTTTAGAGGGTCCCTCTGGCTCTAAGAAATCTTATCGCTAAGCTACATGGATCCTGTAATATGTGTTTGCTTATATATTTGCTGTCTGTCACCCACTATTAGAATGTTATCTCCATATGGACAGGGACTGTATTTTACTTACTGCTGAATTCTCAGACGAATACAGGAACTCGCACATAATAGGTGCTCAATAAATATTTGCTGACTAAATAATTGAAGGCCTGAATTGACTTTTGGGAGGGAAGTTTAAATCACCGAACAGAATGTTGGCAAAACAATCCCTTTACCAAGATCTTTGGACTTTTTTAACTGGAGGAATTGAATCCCCATGGTCTGCTGGAGTTTTCAGATGAGCCCTAGGATGTTGTCTGATCTACTTCCGGTGTGGCGGAGGGAACAGGGTACTACTTCAGGAAATAATCATCCTTTGAGAGGCACGTGGCTCTTCCTTTCAGAGAGCGCCTCTGTACTGATTATGTTTCGCCACTCACCCCAGTCCCCACTCTCCTGATAGGGTGTGACCCCTCCCCAGGTGGGACATGATGGGGTGAGATGCAGACTGCCAACGTCCTCCTAGAAGATGGGACGGCAGGGGCTGGCATGAGAGGCGCCAGATGGACAGGTTACGGAACATGTCAGAAGTTGGGTGACATGACCCTGAGGCCTCCTTCCGGCCCCCGCCTTGCTGAGCCTTGGGAAAGTGTTCCTCCAGCAGCTGGAGATGCCGGGAGTTTGAGGGAGGTAATTTTCTCCTTGGGGTAGGTGGACCCTTGAGTTGGGAAGGTGATTTTCTTGTTGTCAGCAGGCCAGTGGCTAAGGACCATCAGAGCTGAAAAGCCCCTTTTCTGAAGATGGAAATTTGGTCCAGAGTTCCAGCTGATGAGTCCCTGGACCTCAGGTCGACTGACTTCAAAGTCAAAGTCAGGGTGTCCTCCTTCCTCTGCCCCCATCCTACCCCTACATCCTCCCATAGCTAAGGGGAAAGAAATGGACTCGACAGCCCACACATCTCCAGAAACATAAGTCACAAACAATTACTGTGTCTTGTTTGACAGACAAGGACAGGCGAGCAGAAGTGTGCAGTCCCAAAAGCCCTCTGCACTCATGCTTTGCACACTTACTTCCCATTGTCTGTGTGATTATCCTTCCCTGTCTTGTACCAAAAAGATCATTTTTAAGTTGATTGCTTGTGGTTAGCTTCAAGCAAGTGTTGATTTTCTTCTCCTCCTTTTTGAGGCAGGTAGCAGAATTGTGCCCCACACTCTTCTCTGTCCTCATACAGGGACTGGTGACACCCTCAGGCCATGTCCGGATCCACTTTGGCCGTGTTCCCCATCTGCGGGAAACGCGTGGTTCCAGCTCGGTCAGGAAGTAGTTCTTTGCGGGGAGAGGTGCGTGAAGGACTCGCTGCTGCGTCGCATGGCCTGGGACAGGCTGGGGGGCCACGTGGTGCAGTAGAAAGGGCGCGAGGCTGCAATTCGAACATTCTTCGGTTTTAATCTGCGTTCCGATTGGTACACGGAGCTCCATTTCATCTGTAAAACGGGCACACTACTGCCCCCACTGGCTTGTGGTGAAAATTAAGTGAGATAAAACAATAAAAACACCCTGGACTCTTTGAAGCACGCGGCAGTCCGCGTTGACTGTTGTCACTGTTGTCACTATTGACGGCGCATGGCCTTGGCATCGCCGTGGCTTCTGCATGTCACTGGAGGGGCTTGCCATTCGGTGGCACTCATCAAGCACACCCAGTGTGCAGTGCTCGCTGCAGAGCCTCGCTGGTCAGCCGGGAGCCCCTAGGACGTCTCCGGTGGGCAGGCGGTTCCTCCTGAAACGCAGCACTGACCTCATCCCAGGCCTTCTCCCGCAGAAACCCGCTCTAGCTCTGGGGACTCGGTGCCGTGAGGGAGGAGGGAGCCTGAGTGTGTGAGGGGCTCTGCACTCTGTGAGGGGCTAAGGACTCCCACATGCAGTCGAAAACACATCTAGGTTGGCATCGCTTGAAAATTAGGGTAAAAAATGATATGACTACTAAAATGCCGTCTCGTTTGGGGGCACTTCCTATTGAACTACTTTTTAGGGAAAGGTGTGTGGTTCCGGCAGGGGCTCGGGCCTGGTACCTGGGTTCAGATCCAGCTTTGTCTTTCACTCCTGGTACGTTTTTGCCCAAGTCACTGATGCGGCATCAGTGGTCTCAGCTGCAAAGTGACGGTTTGATGAGATGATGCACGTAAAGTTCTCGCAGAGTCTGTGGCACCATGTAAATACTTCTAAATGGCTGTCGTTATTTGACTGAATCTCCATGAGCACACTGCTGCCTATAGGTTGAGGCCCAGGGTGGTCCAGATACAATTGTCATCAAACCTATAACTATTATTTAGAATTTCGAGGTTCATGGGTTTCAGTAATTTTCTATCGCACACTTGCTATTCCGTCTTGACTTCTGTATTCTGTTTGGAATAAGGATTTCTGGCATGACCTTTCCTTCATACTTACGCAAGCCAAAGACTTACGCCGTGGCCGTTGAGGGGGCATTTTACTACTCTCCAGAAGTACAAAGTTGTTTTAGGACATGTCCCCACTTTTCCTTCCATTATTTCCCTCTGTTTGCCTCAGTCATCAAGTCCCATTGCATAATCTGAAGAACCACAAATCAGTCCCT